AATCTTTCTCCTCCAAGGTCACTCATTTCTTCATCAATCTAACCTTGGTGTGGAGACTTAGAGGTTCTCTATTTTGAGAACTTGGAGAAACATATTCTTCCATCCAAATCCATAGATCTAAGAAGCAAGGAATGAAGGCCCTCTCTTTGGGTGATTAGCCTTTGCTTATGCAAAGAGGAATCTACAAAGGTATAAATCTCAACTCACTTTGTTTTGAGTTGAGTCTTGGTTCACCAATCTACTAGGCTTTGAATTTCATGGTTAATGTTTTGTTTTAAGTGCATACAAGCATGATTCCGCCTTTTAAGTGTCATAAAATGTCTACGTCACTTTTAAACCGACGTAAACATTTAATGTCGCTTATAACCGACATATATTTTAATAAATTTAAATATTGGCATCGCTTTAAACAAAACAGTGTCGCTTTTAAGCGACATAAAGTAGTGGTGTCGCTTCTAGGCAACACTACTTATTGTTTTTAAATACTTTAAACCCTAAAAAAATACTATAATAATTATATATATTAATTTAACAATTTTAGACCCCTAAAAACTATAATAATTATATATATATATATATATTATATTAAATATTAACAATTGGTGACCATTGGATCGGCTTAAATATACATACCATTCAATTTCTTAATTGTTATATGTACAAAATAAATAAATTTAAATCTACTTAATAAATATATATATACACACACCATTGAACTTGATGGGATACGAATTCTACGAAACTAATTTCAACGATCAAACTGTCAAACTAGTTTGTATATGCTTCAAGATCGCATCAACAAAAAATCGCAAAAAAAAAAAAACATTCAGAGATCAAGTAACAGGACAAAACTTTTCGAAGGTTATCAACGAAAAATCACGATTTAACGGTTATTTTAACTCCAATTTTGATGATTTTTTTATAGCTACACTCTTTGACCTTATATGAATACAATGAATGAACTCGATCTTCAATTTCAAATATTTACACTAGTGGATACCAATAAATCTTATGTTATACTTAATGAAAGTATGAATAAACTCTTAAGTGTTAGTGAATCTATTGTTTTGATGGGATACACATTCTACGAAACTAGTTTAAACGATCCAACCGTCAAACATGTTTGTATATACTTCGAGATCGCATATGCCAAAAATTGCAAAAAACAAACATTCAGAGATCAAGTAACAGGATAAAACTTTTAAATGGTTATAAACGAAAAAGCACAATTTAACGGTTATTTTAACTCTGATTTTGATGATTTTTTTATAACTACATTCCTTGACCCTATATGAATACAATGAATGAATTTGATCTTCAATTTAAAATACTTACGCTAGTGGATACCACAAAATCTTATGTTATACTTGATGAAAGTTTGAATAAACTTGTAAGTGTTCATAAATCTATTGTTTTAATGGGATATGCATTCTACAAAACTAGTTTCAACGATCCAACCGTCAAACTTGTTTGCATATTCTTCGAGATCGCATACGCCAAAAATCACAAAAAAAAAAAAATCAGAGATCAAGTAACGGGACGAAACTTTTCAACGGTTATAAACGAAAAATCACGATTTAACGGTTATTTTAACTCCGATTTTGATGATTTTTGACAGCGATCTTCAATTTAAAATATTCACACTAGTGGATACCACAAAATCTTATGTTAGACTTAATGAAAGTATGAATAAACTCTTAAGTGTTAGTGAATCTATTGTTTTGATGGGATATGCATTCTACGAAACTAGTTTCAACGATCCAACCGTCAAACATGTTTGTATATACTTCAAGATCGCATATGTCAAAAATTGCAAAAAACAAACATTCAAAGATCAAGTAACGGGACAAAAATTTTCGACGGTTATAAAACAAAAAATCACGATTTAACAGATATTTTAACTCCGATTTTGATTATTTTTTATAGCTACACTCCTTGACCCTATATGAATATAATGAATGAATTCGATCTTCAATTTAAAATATTTACACTAGTAGATACAATGAAAGTATAAATAAACTCTAAGTGTTAGTCAATCTATCGTTTTGATGGGATACGCATTCTATGAAACTAAATTCAACGATCCAACCGTCAAAATTGTTTGTATATGCTTCGAGATCGCATACGTAAAAAATCGCAAAAAACAAATATTCAGAGATCAAGTAACGGGACAAAACTTTTCGACGGTTATAAACAAAAAATCACGATTTAACGGTTATTTTAACTTCGATTTTGATAATTTTTTACAGCTACACTCCTTGCCTCTATATGAATACAATGAATGAATTCGATCTTCAATTTAAAATTTTTACACTAGTGAATCTTATGTTATATTTAATGAAAGTATAAATAAACTCTAAGTGTTAGTAAATCTTATTGTTTTCATGATTTGGAATAAATATATTAATTATTTTATATATTTTAAGTGTTAATTAGACTATGTTTCAATTAGTATGTGATGATATTTTATAATAAAATTATATTTATGTTTTTTATTACGTATTTTATTCAAGTTAAATTTTATTTATTAAAATCTTAAAATGTTATAAGAGATAACACCAAAACAAAATGCTGGTTATTTTTTTTTTCTTTGGGTTAAATATTAGGCGGGAAATGGATTATATTGTTATTCAAATGAAGATTGAGGGAGAGGAATGTTATAAGACATAACACACAAAAAAAAAGGCTGGTTATTTTTTTTCTTCGTATAATGCGTATCCCATCAAAATAATAGATTTACTAACGCTTACAGTTTATTTATACTTTCATAAAGTATAACATAAGATTTTGTGGAATCCATTAGTGTAAATATTTTAAATTGAAGATCGAGTTTATTCATTGTATTCATATAGGGTCAAGGAGTGTAGCTGTAAAAAATCATCAAAATTGGAGTTAAAATAACCGTTAAATCATGATTTTTCGTTGATAACCGTCGAAACGTTTTGTCCCGTTACTTGATCTTTGAATGTTTATTTTTTGCAATTTTTGGTGTATGCGATCTCGAAGTATATAAAACATGTTTGATGGTTGGATCGTTGAAACTAGTTTCGTAGAATGCGTATCCATCAAAACAATAGACTCACTAATACTTAGAAGTTTATTCATACTTTCATTAAGTATAACATAAGATTTTGTGGTATCCACTAATGTAAATATTTTAATTTGAAGATCGAATTCATTCATTGTATTCATATAGGATCAAGGAGTGTAGTTGTAAAAAAATCATCAAAATCGGAGTTAAAATAACTGTTAAATCGTGATTTTTCTTTGATAACCGTCGAAACGTTTTGTCCCTTTACTTGATCTTTGGATGTTTTTTTTTTGCGATTTTGGGCGTATGCAATCTTGAAGTATATACAAACAAGTTTAACGGTTGGATCGTTAAAATTAGTTTTGTACAATCCGTATCTCATCAAAATAATAAATTCACTAACACTTAAGAGTTTATTCATACTTTCATTAAGTATAACAAAAGATTTTGTGGTATCCATTAGTAAATATTTTAAATTGAAGATTGAATTCATTCATTGTATTCATATAGGATCAAGGAGTATAGCTGTAAAAATTCATCAAAATCGGAGATAAAATAACCGTTAAATGATTTTTTGTTGATAACCGTCGAAATGTTTTGTCCTGTTACTTGATCTTTGAATGTTTGTTTTTACGATTCTTGGCGTATGTGATCTCGAAGCATATACAAACAAGTTTGACGGTTGGATCGTTGAAATTAGTTTCATATAATGCGTATCCCATCAAAACAATAGATTCACTAACACTTGGAGTTTATTTATACTTTCATAAAGTATAACATAAGATTTTGTGGTATCCAGTAGTGTAAAGATTTTAAATTGTAGCTGTAAAAAATAATCAAAAATCGGAGTTAAAATAACCGTTAAATTGTGATTTTTCTTTGATTTTGTGGTATCCACTAGTGTAAAGATTTTGTGGTTTAATTAAAATATTTTGGGCCGGAATTTTCCCGGTTTTTTTGCACGGGGAAATGAATTTCATTTTTTTGGGTACTCTGCACGGGGAAATGGATTGGACAAGCTTTTTCAATCAGTGTTAGAGTTGGCGTCGGTTTTAACCGACGCAAACTCTGATTATGTCAATGCAAAATTGCCCTTATTTGGATGCCAGACAAATCTGTGTTAGACTAACGTGTGTCAGGCCTTTCAGTCAAAAGTGTGTCAGGCCTTTTAAAACTAGTGTCAGTTTGAACCAACGCAAAGTCCTAATATTTCGACCTCTTATGTTATAGCTATTGTTGGTATTAATCGACGCTAAGTTTTTATCCATATTTAAACACTGTCTTTCCCATTACTCCCGTGCTTCCATTGCTCTCTCTTGTTTACAGGTGATGTTGAAGAAGGAAGCTTCTCCTCAGGGAATAATACTGGAGAATTAGAAGTTCGTCAAGACCAAAAACAGCAAGAAAACCACTTGCATCGCTCCAGCTCTGGTGGTGCTTCCGGTGCCCAAAGCAACAGTAATGGCTCTGTCACTCATCTGCAACCACAATAGCCGCCACTTAAGAAGAAAAGAAATCTTCCAGGAACTCCAGGCAAATAATCTTGAATTAATATCAAGTAGTTTCTTGATTTGATTGGCATGTTTCACTATATGTATATAACATTCAACACAAGGCGCGAGGATTTGATTCATTTCAGAAGAACAAAACAAAAGGGCTCCTCTCCGGAGCATGTCAGCTTATGTGAGATTGATTCACTCGAGAATATTTACCAGATTTTGGCGCCATGGGTGAGTCTTGTAATATTTCATTTCAACGATATATATTGTTTTTTCTAATTTTTTTTTTTAAAAAAGTTCGAATTTGAGTTATCTTGCGAAAGAATATAAACTTTATGAAGAATTGTTGACAATAATATACAACTGTTTGCTTGATTTCACTTTTTTTGTTGACCACAAGTATATATATGCTGACATAATTAACCAATGTTGCTATTTATACTTATATTTTTGCTACATAGTTAATTATGTTCTAAAAGTTTTGTATTTGTGTGATCAGATCCTAGCACAGAAGTTATTGCACTATCACCAACAACCCTAATGGCAACGAACCGATGTGTGTGTGAGATCTGCAACAAAGGGTTTCAAAGGGATCAAAACCTTCAGTTGCATCATCGAGGCCATAACCTTCCATGGAAGCTCCGGCACAGAACCACCACTGAGGTTAGGAAAAAGGTCTACATATGTCCCGAGCCGACGTGTGTTCACCACAACCCAGCTCGGGCGCTAGGAGATCTCACCGGCATTAAGAAGCACTTCAGCCGGAAACATGGGGAGAAAAAATGGAAATGTGACAAGTGCTCCAAGAAATATGCAGTGCAGTTAGATTGGAAGGTGCATCAGAAGACCTGCGGCACAAGGGAGTATAAATGTGACTGTGGAACCATCTTTTCTGAGGAACTTCATATGATGTCTTATGCAACTTCTTTAGCTTCTACTTCTAATTCCTCCAGGAGATCATCCAGGAGTTCTGTAACAATGCTGATGACTGAGAACAATGAATTGAGAATGAATTGGGACAACTGTTATTGTCATTAGTTTTTATTATTGTTTGCTTTGGCCTATATATGAAATATGATTGGAATTATATATATATATATATATTTTAAATTATTACTGACGAAAAATGAAACAGTTTGTATTATGCTTTATTTTAATATATATGGTGTTGTTTATGGACGACAACATCATAAATATTATATTGATCAAAATGTAGATAATGTCGGTTAGGACCGACAATAGATTGATTATTTTATTTGTTTACTGTTATGTAATGTCAGCTACAGCTGGCAGTAATTGTAATATTTAATTGTTTAATTGTTACTTAATGTCGGTTAGTAGCGCCATCATGTCAAAATTTAATGTCGCTTATAAGCGACGTACTATACGATGTTGCTTTTAAGCGACGCTGTTGTTCTTTTTATTTTATATTACTTTGCTTCGTGGTGGCGAATTAAGGGGTCTAAGCGACGTCAATACCCTTTTCGCGACGGTAGTATTGGTGTCGCTAACCCAATATGACATTGCACTATTTAATGTCGGGTTTTTACAAATATCCGACAGTAATTGGTGTTTCTTGTCGGTTTTTACCGCCAGCGATAATCCCTTTTGTAGTAGTGTAAACATTTTGTCGATCATTTTCTAGCAGTTGTCTAACATGACATTTTAGGTGGAATTTCATACCAAATAAGATGCATGCGAGTCTAAACTCCATATCAAAATCCCTCCAAAGATTTTCAAAAAGTTCAATTTAGCTTTCAAACTCATATCAGGTTCAAGGACGTTTTTGAGATTTTGAGGGTCCTGTGTAGAAATTATAAATGCGGCATTTTGCCCTTGTATCTTATTACATAATCTTACCAAAATGTACTAAAACAATAAAAGGTTATCATGTATTTATCATAATTAAAAGAAAAGTTATACGTAAAATGATGTTATCAATCAACAAAATCATTAGTAAAAGAAGCCATGAAACAAAACAAAATGATGTATTAACCTATTGCATAATTACCTTTTTTGGAACCCAACTTAAATTTTAAATGGGAAATGTTGTATTAACCTATTGCATAATTACCATCAAGTACAAAATGAAGTTAACGAGAAAAATAAGATATATCATAAATTCATACCCAATAATCAAACATTAACGATCGCGTAATTTTTCTCGTACATTTTGTTCTAGCAAAAATTCTAAGACGCTCTCATAGAGAAAAACAAACTCTTTTTGACAGATGGATGGTAGTTTTGAAGTTTTGGATGATTCAACTAAGATATGAATCGATTTATGCAAGAGTTAAATTATTGGTTTATATGTCATATACTAACATTGTGATCTGCTGTTGGCTGTATAAGTTTCTCAAGTCTTTTCTTGTTCATTTTGGACACTATTTACCATGTCTTCTACTTCATAATTTACATAACATAACCATGACATCCTGCATTTTTTTTTCTTAGATTGCATATCAAACTGCTACTACTTAATTCGAGAGTCAAAGACTCTAACAGTTAGGTAATAGACAACATGGACTAGTTAAGTTTCTCATGTTTGCGTTTTTTATTAGATTGCATATCATACTGATAATATTAGTCTTTTCAATGCAATCTAAATTCTAATTAGCCAAACCAATAATAGATACATACTTTGTTTCATTGTTTAGCATTCTTCCCAGCTTTTTTCATTTGATTCTTCATTGCACCACCACTTTAACTCTCTTCATTACACCACCACTTTCGCTCTCTTCATTACACCACCACTTTGCTTCATTTACCAGACGACTGATTGTCCTTTTTCTGGTGTTCAGTGTTGTATTTTGTAAGCAAAGGAACTGGCCTCCTCATTCATAAGTGTGCTTAAGGTATAAGGTAGTGTTTTAATTTCCTCTACTTCAATTTTGTCCAATTAGACATGATTCATCTAGCCATATATATATATGCTCATAGGCAGTGGAGGGTCCAGGAAATATAATTAGAGAGGTTAGTAAGAATAGCGCGCAACATACATATTTTTTTTAAACATAAATAGCACGCATATCGCCATTTTATCGAGTCTTGGTAGGTCTAAAGTTATTTACAAAGGCATACTGCACACCTGTTAATGCCTTATTTGCGTGGGTAACTAACATGTTCCAAGGCTGCTCCCATATGAATGCTTAACAAAGGAACACACTTATTTTGAACACACTAACAAATTGATTGATATCATTGCCTCATTAATATGTTTGTCCAAGAACGATGATACTTTGTTCATTCTTTGAGATTACCTTTTCATTTACTTTGCATTTTTGGATACTCTTTTACTTGGCTCTTTTTTTCTTCCTACAATTGTAATCACAACCAACAAACAAGCCGGAGGTAAATAATAGTAGGACTAGACTGTAAAGGGGCAGCACCTCTCTAACACATTTTATCAAGCAATTGGAGGGCATATATGAAGGGCAACTCCAACCTTCAAGGGGGCACCCAAGTCATCCATGGAGACTCACCAGAGTTTGGAAGGTCAACTGACCTCCCTTACCCCTAAGTCGGTCTGCCCCTACTTATAGGTTACAAATTATAAGCCTTTATATCATCTTAAACATAAAAGGCTCAGATTCATATGCAACATACATCGTCATGCAAGGCAACATGAGATTTATCGAGAGCAACATCATAGAGGGTGATGAAAACTCCATCAAAAGCAACTTTCAGAAAGATAGAACGTTAGAGAGAGCATGCTTTGATTTTGGTTTGTAAAGGTAGTTTAGGTAGAAATTTGGGTTTAAAGAGATATTGATAGTTTAATTAAAAATATGGGAGACTTTGGATGCGGTCCTTAGTTATGAATATTCTTTGATTGAAACCTTGTTGGTTTTGAATTTTTTATCGAGGTCCCTGAAATTAATGTGATAATTTATTTCTATGTACGTTACTATATTTTTTAAATTAAAAATTAGAAATTTTAATTGTTTATATAAATGAGATTTTAAATAAATAAAAAAACATAATTTGTGGGATTAAAAATATTAAAATATAAATATACTATTGTGTGTGTGTATCTATGACAACCTGTCCCAAATTTTATTATTTTATAAATCTTAAAATGTGAAATTTACGAAAATACCCTAGAGGCGAGGGTATTGATTTTCGTTGATCGTTAGTTCATGACGCGGTATGAACTATTACCTTACCATATTCCAAAAGTACATTGGTAAGGATTGTTATTTATTATCTTATTCATTTCTTATTATTATATATATTTTTTACAGGGATATGGGAGAAAATAGAAGAAGAAAGAGGAAGGGGGATTGCTGCTTGATGGCAGCGAAAGAGAGGGAGAGGAAAGAGATGGGCACTGCCCAATCAGAAATGAGGAGAGAGGGAGAGTGACGAATGGGAGAGAAGAACCAGGAGGGAAAGGAGAGAAGAACCAAAGGAGGGAACCCAAAACGAGTCCTCCTTGACTTGTGTGACCTGGCCGACGGGAAACATAGAAACCGATGGTTTCCTGGCCAAATTTCGGTGAATTAAGTGAAACCATCACCTAGAGACATCTCCCTATCCTTTTATCTACCATTTCTACCCCTAAATTCATACAATTTGACCTTAGATTCGGGAGAAATGCACCGGTGGTGCGTGTGGGTGTTCGGCGACAATCCATAAATTGTGAAGCTAACTCAGCCAATTGTCACCACCAATAGGCTCCCCTCAACCTCAAGAACAAAGCCCAAGTGATGGTAGGGGCGTCGGAGCATCCATGGAGTCGAATCGAAAATACCCAAAATTAGGGTTCTAGTGGGTTTCCGTGAAATTGGAGCCTTTCCAAGCCAAATTGGCCTTGGTTACAGGTATAAAGTTTGCTCTATTCTTTGAGATCTTCATTTCCTTATTTTTTGAGAATTTTTAGAAATAGTTGAATTTTTCGGCGAGTCGGGACGGCCGACCGCCACCCACGGCGGCGTGTGGCCAAGGGGCCGCCAATGCTGTTTTTAGGATATGTTAAATGTCTTGAATTCAGTTTTGATATTTGAATGACGTAGGTTGATCGTTGGAACCTAAATTTGCTACGATACGTTATTAGGTATTCAGGTGAATCGACGATCCAACCGTTGGATTGTCACCAAACTTTGTTACATTGTAGTACGTAATATTTGAAGAATTTAGGAACTTACGGATTGAGAATTCGACATACAGATCTTCCTGAATTGGATTTGTAATTTCATAAAACAAAACGTTAACCGCTAATCAGTTTTGGAATTTGGCGAAGATCCAACTGTTAGATCGTAATGAAACTTAAGTATGTTGTTCTAGAAGCATATTGTGTATCATAAGAAGTTATGAATTCGAAATCCGAGATGCAGATCTTCTGGATCGAGTTTTACAGGGTTGTGGATCCATCCGTCGATCTTCGATCCACGGTTGACTCTTAGTCAATGGGTCTCAAATTATTCTTGAAGGTCCTTGAGCATATGTTTTATGTAAATTTTGTGCTCTATTGGTAAGAACTTGAGTCATGATTTGATAATTGGCCTCAGGCGACGATAGTTTGTGATGTCTCGATGTTCATACGAGGGAGTCGTAACGCAGACCTAAGGTGAGTAGGTCTTTTCTCTTCTATCATATATGTACATATATAAGATTGACATCTCCATAAACGTTTATAAATTGATTATTTCATATAACTACTGTGAATGCTTTGAAGTACTAATGTGAACTACAGAACTGCTCGAAAAAAAAAAAAAGTCTAACCACCTCTTCAACATGAAGAAGAACCCGAAGGAGTCACTTCGCACTTACGTCAAGAGATTCAAGTCGGAGAAGGTGATGCGATGAAAGTTAAGCACTCAAATTAAACCCTCTTATTGTCAAATTGTAGTATAACTGCAAGTAGGGATCGTTCTAAACCGGGGATTAGGAGGGCTTGCTAAAAGCTCTAAACTTACTGAAAAACATAAAAACAAAGTTAAAAACGTTTGAATAGACTCAAGGGACTCAAAACAGATTCTAAAGACTCAAAACAACTTAAAAACACTCAAAACTGCCTAAAAACACAAACTGGGCATATTTGACTCTAAC